CCGGCATTATGGCTCCGGCTCTATGCGTCCGATCCCACCTCCGTTCCTCTTGAGACCGGGCACAGGCGAATGAGGGAAGAGAGAGAGAGCACAGTTGATGCAACGTACCCGCAAGTCTACTATCACGTACAGCTAATGCGTGTAAATCAGCACGCTGTGGAGCACACAGTGGCCATAGTTGGAATTGACAGCCGAACAGTTTTATCTGCTCACTCGGAGAGTCTCGCTTCTCGGAACAGGGTTAGCTGTATGAGAGCATAACAGGTCACACCTCCTGTAGCGGACGTCCAAAGGACAGAAACGTAAGGCTGTTAAGATTGACTTCATCAGGCCTTGTCATTCCTACTCGCCGCTGTTGTAACGGTGGCCCAGGCCAATAACTCTTTGTGTGAGTCCCCAAGGGAAGAACACGACAAGAAGTGTGCAACAGCAGAAGTCTTTGAGAGATGAAGGTACAACAAATTTAGGGCCACGAACGTGTGTAAACTAGGTCCACGAACCAATCAGCTTCTCTTTTAGATTAGCCATCGGTGTGATTGGCTAGTGACTCGACGGCTAACTGCAACTTGCAATTTGAATTATCAGTTGATTGATGGCCTGTGTACATTAGCCCGTGTAGGCCGATCGATAGCCTGCTTGGAGTGCGGCTATGGCTTGCAAGCTAATTGCTTGCTATGGCTGTTCGTTAGGCCGTCCTAACAGCCTCCACACCCCCTCTCTCATGGCACCATCTACTGCCTCACCCAGAAAGACTGCTACTCCGCCGACATAAACATCGCCATCATTATCAACCTCATACACACCCTCTCCCGTAAAAGGACTACGCAAGTGATTTCTCCGAAGGTCTGACCACCCTTCTCGGTTAGATCATTGCAACTCCGACAAACTCTTTCGGTTGTCATTAGTACGTTATGTTGACCTCGCAGTTGTAAATAGACTGTATGAAGGTACTTTTGTGCGCGTCCACAGCTGCTTGTGGTGCACTATTCGGGATGAAAAGATCGCTGCTTCCTCTAGTGCCCGGGACAACGACGCGATGTAGTGCCCAAAACTGGGCCGACTACCACCTGTCATGCTCGAAGGTGGGGCTGCGGATTCGACCACGGTGTCAACCTCAAGGAAGAGGACACTAAGAAGGCTGAAACCTGCAACTGGCCGCACGTCAGCGGTAATAAATACCAGCAGCAAAAGACCTCCTACTGAAGTTTCTGTTTTGTTTTGCAATTTTCGACCTCCGACGGAACATACCTATTTCGGAATTTCTGTTTACTGGACACTCTCACAGCCTGTCACTATTACGGATTCGATCTATCTTAGCAATAACTAGATCTGTAGGGTCTAAGTAGTGGTTGTACCCAGAACACTAAAATCATCAGGCCGAATCCCAGGTTGTAGGTAAAAGACGGGAGGAGGGATTTGTTGTGCACAGAACCCTGAGTTGCTGCCTCGGGCGGCAGTAGCCACTGAAGAAGCCAGGGCTAGTGTTGACCGCATCCCGTCATGCCTGAGAGTCTGTGTGTGGTCGTCCAAAGGAAAGAAACGTAAGGCTGCTAGGGTTGCGTTCATAAAGAATTGTCATTCCTACTCGCTCCCCACACCTCTCTCATGGCACCATTTTCCGCCTCACCCAGAAAGACTGCCACTGCCAACAGAAATTTGCCAGCTCTATCAACACCTACGACTCCCCCTACGAATACGAAAGTGATTTCGAAAAAGATCTGATTGCCGTTCTCGGGTAGACAATTGCACCTACGATGAACTTATTCTGTTGTCATTCGTACGGTAGATTGAACTCGAGTTGTGAATAGACTGTATGAAGGTACTTTCGAGCTCGTCAGTACCTGCTGGTGTACTCTTCGGGATGCAAAGGTCGTCGCCCCCTATAAAGTGCCAGTGGCAAAGACGCCATGTGGTGCCCAAAACTGCACAGACCACCGCCTCTTATGCTCAAATGTGAGGCTACGAATTCGACCATAGTGTCCGATTTCAGGGAGAAGGGCACCGAGAAGGCTGGAAACGTCCGTACTGCACCTGGCCGCACGTTAACGGTGGCCCTTCAGCAAAATAAATACCGACTTGTAAAAACGCAACTTAAGTTTCGGATTCGGTTTGCAATTTTCGACTTCCGACGGGACTTACCTTTTTAGGGATTTTCTGTCTACCGGACACTCTCATAGACCGTCAGTATTAGGGATTCGCTCCATTTTAGTAATGCCTGGGTACTTACAAATCCAGGAGAGGACTTTCGTCAGATGTCAACCCCCTCCCCTCACGACTCAGTTGTTGTTATCTATCGGGGCACGCGATTGACATTAACAGTGTCAGTACTGACAGTTGGCCTGCCGCCTCCAACGAGGTCCATCGCGTGCTTCAGCATGCTGCGGGCAAACTCGATGACTTACGCACGAACTAGTTTGAAGTGATGGTAGACGTGCGTTGCATCTACCGCCCTCTCTTCCTTTCCCCTTCCGGTGTCAAAATAGATTCAAGAAGATCGGAGGCCGGAGAAGGCACGGGTGGCTGGTGCGGCTCGAGCCTGCACCTACGCGTGCCACCAGTGCCCTCCTATATTCGGTTTTTTTATGAGAGCGCAGCCCGAATAACGCACGCCATGTTCTGATTTGGTCTCCGTCTTGGTCAAGCGGACTTTTCTCGAACACTTCAGCAACTCTAGTACCGTTCAAGTTGTTGCTCCATCTCCCCGTCAAACGCTCTTTTCGATCGACATTGTTACACTCTAACAATTGTACTGTGGGCAGATAGTGTTACCGGCAGCGACTTAACCCGGCAGGACAACGAGCTCGTAGCTCAATGGTTAAAGCGTTCGACTCTGATCAAAGAGGTCGCGAGTTCGAGGCTCTGGTTGGACGCCACTTGGGTCTGGGTATGACTGACTTGTCTCTGTCGTTAATACTATTTGCCTACCCTGCCAGCTGCTACGGCTGTCAGGGCCTCTGTCGAGACCCCAAGCAGAGCGGGACAAATGAGTTCTGTTAGCGGTCGGGTGAACGCTCACCAATTAATTGTATTGTCAATAATTGCGTCCATTTCTGACCCTTTCAGGTAGCCAGATTACCCTGCTGGGTAATAGGATTCGCCCCGGTGGTGTAATGTGTATCGGATTCGCAGCGGCCCTCATCGGACAGCTGATGGCTTTCCTCATGATACCTGCAGGTGCTCCAATTGAAAACACCTCGGAAATAGCTTTCATTCAACCCACGTAAGCTTTCTGATTTTTGCATTTTGTCAAGTTAGCTAATTACGCCTACTGTTTTATGTTAAGTAGGTATTTTAGATATCGTTTAGCGTCACCACTACCATGCTTAGGATTCACGTCATAGCAGCCGAGTTCCAGAATATTCAATCGCATTGCAGCGGCTCATATCGTTCTCTCCTGACTTCAGTACTTAAATAAGTGTGTCCCTCTCATTTGCAGCCAGTCTATAGCAGCTACATAACAACAGTTAGCCAGTAATCTGAAAGCCTAGGATATGCGTCTAACTATCCGGTGACTATTCCAATGTCTCGGTGAAAATTACCTGTGACCACCTGCGTAGCTAAAGATCCCAGGGGCAAGTGTGTTTAGCCTAGACTATGCACCAGTTTGCATT